TTTAAAGTAAAGTATTCATCTTTATTGGATTATTCTCATCTTTTAGAAATTTTGTTAGTCTGAATTCACATTTTATATAACTTCAGGACCTGGTCGGGGCAAAAAGTGCGAAAAAATGGCATTTCAGTTTTTGAGAAAACGGACGTCCGATTTGAATGATTTGAATGTACAAATTTTACTTGTATTGACAAAATGTAGAATTGAATCATTTTTTTGGAATAAAGGTCAGCGGTTCGTACCAATGCAGTTAGTACAAATTTTATTTAAATGTAAGTTTAACCTTTAAGCGTATCAATATATTTCAACTCTAAAACAGATACAAGGCTTTGAAAAGATGACTGAAAAAAATTCAAAACTTTCAAAAATTTGCAGGATTATCAAAAACGCTTAAAATAATTCAAAATTTTCAGAAATTCTTAAAATTCTACTATTATCAAAGTTTAAAAAAAATATTTTAAACATTTTATGTTACGATGCGGGTAGTTTCAGTAATTTTCCAAGGCATGATGCGGTGCACCAACATTTTTATATATTTTTACGTTTCAGAGGTTTCTGAACATTTGACATACAAAAAATGGATGTATGTGCGTATGTGTATGCGGATACAAATTTTCGCTGATATTTCGGGAACACAAATCAACCGATTTAAATAATTCAATAAACATTCGATTTGTATTGATAAGGAGACATGCTTATTAGTTTTTGGCAAAGGCAGGTCTAGCCGTTTCGAAGATACGGGGCAAAAAAAAAACAAAGATGGTAATAAATGTTTTTGAGATAAAGGATTGTCCGATTTGAATAATCCAAAAAACATTTCATTTATTAAGTACTGTTATTTTTGGAAAAGCAGATCTAGCGGTTTCAGAGGTCGAGTGAAAAAAGTAAAAAAAAGCCATTCGGCGGTCAAAAATTATCATTACACCTATGCACATCAAAATCATTTTTTAGATATTTTATAGAGATTTTAATAATAAGTATGAATTTTGTTCACACTTCTATGGTTCGATACCAATGTTCAATCGTTACACTGCGACGCGGCGCTTACGCGCTTCGATATTTTTTTTCTAAAACACCCACACAGGACGATTGCTTTGAAAAAAAGTTCAAAATTTTCAGAAAAATAAAAAAGTATAAAAAAATTCAAAATATGAAGAAAAATTCAAATTTTTCAAAAAAAGCAATTTTTTTTCAAAATTTTATAATCTCATTTTTAACTTCCCGTAGGGTAGTATATAGTAATCGCAAAAAAATCAAGAATGTGAATCGGAAACAGGGTTCAACCGATTTCAATAATTCAAAAAACATTCGATTTGTATTGATAAGGAGACGTGCTGATTAGTTTTTCGCATAGGCAGCTCTAGCCGTTTCGAAGATACAGGGCAAAAAGTGCACAAACGGTAACTCAGTTTTTAAGAGAACGGAGTGTCCGATTTCAATAATTTAACAAACATTTTACTCGTATTGACAAGATGAAAAACTGATTGAATTTTTGGGAAGGCAGGTCTAGCGGTTTCGGAGATCTAGTAAAAAAATGTTATTTGGCGGTTAAAAATGATCATTAGACATATGCACATCAAATTATCAGATGTTTTATAGAGATTTTAACAATAAGTATAAATTTTGTTTACATTCCTATGCGTTCCGTACCAATGTTTATCCGTTAGACGACGACGCGGCGCTTACGCGCTTTGATATTTCGTCTCTATGCAGTTAAAGCAGTACGATTGCTTTGAAAAAAAGTTCAGATCTTCCAAAATATGCCAAAATAAAGAGAAACATTATTTTTTCCAAAAAAAAATAAAAAAAAAAAAAAAAAAAAAAAAAATTTAATTTTTTTTGAAAAAATTTTTTTTCAAAAAAAAGTAATTTTTTGTCCAATTTATAGTTTCTCAAAATTTTATTTTTTTGAAGTAAATTTTTTTTAAAAATGTTAATCGTTTTAAAAAAATAATAATTTTTGGTACGGGAAGTTCCAGCAATTGCCTTAAGGCACGATGCCTTAATTGCCTTAAGACAGAATTCCATTTACAGCTACTTTTTAAAGTTTTCAAAAAATTTGAAGTTTTTTTAAAAAAATGATTATCGGTACGGGAAGATCCAGCTATATGCCTTAAAGCACGATGCCATGCACCACTAGTATTAAAAAGTTACCATGAACTTATGAGGATTCGAATTTGTTAAATTTGTCTATTTCAAACATCTATTGACTCGATTATGAAGTTAGAATAATGTTCCCGAGCTGATAGTAAGTATCAGTCGCTCAAAGTGCGTGTGACAGAACAGAGAACACCAACACATCGGCCCAGTGTCTAGATAACTCGCAACTGGTGAGCAGTGCGGTACAGGTTCTCCTCGTGTACGGACGGCCGACTCGTCCGAATTATGCTCGGCACGTGTTCGATTCAAATGATCCCGCTACGTTCGACATCCAAATGATAAACACTATCTAATCAAGTGATGTTGTTTAATTAAGCAAGTGTTAGTTCGAATTCATTTTTGTGTTTTGTGTATATTATAATAAATGGACCCCGAAATTCCTCTGAAAGGTAAGAGTGCGCTACTGTATTTTCTTTGTGACCCACGCCAGCGGATATTTCTGGCTGATTCGCTTTAAAGAGGGCAGCGCTCCCCGAGGCGCCTGCTTTATGTTTTCAAGTTCGGCGATAATTCCTTTGTTATTATGGCTTTAGCACTTTGTAAAATTCATTAGCAGAACGTAAACAGATGCTTAGATAAATTTGAAATCTTAATTATGTGATGTTCAATATTTTAGAGAAACGGCTTTGTTGTTCAAAATAATAAAACACTATTCGCAGATGGTGAATACTAGGTCGATGTGAATTATTTATGAATACTCACAGGTTTAATTCAAACAAAGAATTGATAATTTTTGATATATATATATATATATATATATATATATATATATATATACAGGGCCGGTCCTGGTGTCCTCAGCGCCCGCATGCCATTTTTTTTATAGCCCCCCCTCTTTTATTTTAACTGTTATTTTTTTTTAATACTTTTTAAAAATTCTGGATTTAGAACACAAAAAATTCGCAGTTTGCTCATAATTATACTACTGAACTATTTTTAATATCTTTCAATTCAAATATTTAGGACATCCAAAAGTTTCAGTAGGTTCATTATTGCTTGCAACCTAATTATTTGGGTTTTGAAACATTTTGCTTATTTATTTTATGCGATTTCTAGCCTTCTATTAAAATTCTAGCCTTTTATTATTAAATGTAACGCTGGTACTTCATTTTGGTTTGGCTTTAATGTTTATTATTTAAAATATCCAAAATTGCACCGTAAACTTCTCCTAATTGATATGGTAAGGGCCGAATTGTATGTATTTATCTTTACTTTGTACATCGTGTATCAGTTTCTTGTTTTGAAGTTAAGTTTATAAACGTATTTTAAAAGTATTGTCCAAAGATTAGTAAAAGATGGCAAGAAATAATGTATTTCTTGAATGATATTGAAATAACTATATTATAAATTTCATATCCGAATCTCGTTTGGGCGCCCCCCAAAGCGTGCCCCCGCATTTTTCGAATGCATCGCATTCAATTCTCATGTCATGTTGTTCGTCGCAATGCTGATAATCAAACAACATATTTTTTATACCCCTGAGTGGCCACACTTAATTTTTAACTTCCCGTAGGGTAGTGTTATAGTAATGGGCCGAAAATCGAAAATGAATTTTTTTGCATTTCTCGACGTTTTGAAGGTTTCTGAACATTTTGGCATACCTCAGAAAAAATGGTTGTGTGTGTATGTGTGTGTGTGTGTTTTGTATGTCCGCATTTTTTCGTCCACGTTTTCGGGCGCACGGATCAACCGATTTGATTCCTATTGATAGGGAGATGTGCTGATTAGTTTTTGGCAAAGGCAGGTCAAGCCGTTACGGAGATACGGAGCAAAAAGTGCAGAAAATACTAATCGAGTTTTTGAGAGAACGGAGTTTCCGATTTGAATGATCTAAAATATTTTCAATTTGTAATGATTGGGAGAAAATACGAAGCTATACGTGCAAAAAATGGCAGTTTTTGAGAGAACTAAGCGTCCGATTTGAGTTATTTAAAGTACTTTCTGCTTGTTTCAACAAAATAATTGCTTTTAGAAAAAGAACATTGTTTCAAATTTTTTTTTCAAAAAATTTTTTTGTATTATTGAAAATAATTTAGAATTTGATTTTAATTCTGACTGAAGTTCTGATACACTTGAAACAAATAATTTCAAATTTGCAATTCAATTTATATAATTTTTATAAATATGACAATGTTACAGTATTTATAATAATCTATTTGAAAACATTTAATATTCCTCGAACATTTCGTTACGGTACGGGAAGTTCCAGCAATTTGCCTTAAGGCACACCACTAGTTTTTGTTTTTTAAATCAAATTATTTTACTTTATTTTTTATAATTATTAATTAAAAAAGCACACTCAGCCCTAAACCTTCACCCTCCTACCACAAATCCCTATTTAGTAATAGTCGATTTTAGTAATCGAATAACTTTTTATGCCGCATGAATATTTTTTACTGAATTCTGATTATGATTTTCTTAAACTCATTGAAAAGCAAAAACTTATTTTTAATAGTTACAATAGTTAGTTATTTTTATACTTAACCTTTGCGGGACGAGCTAGTATATATATATATATATATATATATATATATATATATATATATATATGTTCTGGATGAAGTCTGAGTATATGATTGAAGCCATCTGTTTAATTGGACTTTTCAATATTAAGAAAGAAAACATCAAAACAACAAAGGTTTCCATTCAATCCACTCGTGTACTCATTTTCAGATTAATTTAAAATAGACAGATATTTGTTTTATTTTGCTCAGTACTTACATTCTTCCGATTCATTAAAAATATTATAAATAAAACAGATTAAAAAATAATTACTTCAACTAGTAAAGCAAACACTTATCATAAAATTATGATAAGTAGTATTGCCAACTCCTGGCTCTTATAATCAATAAAACCTTAATAAAATTAAGAAGTAAAAAATTGATTAATTACGTTTGCGTTGAAATATGAAACCAAAATTCAAGACATTTATAATGATGTTTACTAAACGACACCAAACAACCAGTCAGCTGTATCGTTTGCTCAAAGAATATTTTGCATGTTCCGCAATATCAAATGTCTTGATAAATTTCATAACTTTCGTTTTTTATTTTTGATAATTTACGAATTATACGATTTGAAGTATTAAAACGATAAGCCGCCGGTTTATAATGTAGAAAATTCAATTGTAATGTTTTTTTTTGTATTTATTTATAATATTTTTCATGCTGTATAAAATTTTTATCTAATTGTGTAGCAATATGTAACAGTTCAACAATAATTTAACTATGAGGCAGATTCCAAAAAATAATAGTTTTATTACAAGCAAAACACCTTGAGCAATTAACTAATTGTTTCTAGCAGTAATCTACATTTTACAAAAATTTCAAAAAAACTTGAAGCTTTTTTAAAAAAATTAATTCCAGCAATTTGCTCTAAGGCACGATACCAAGCACCACTAGTTTTAAATTATATTGAATATTAAAGTATTATGCTGACGTTGTTGAAATGAAAATGAAAACATTTATTTCTTTCCATTTTAAACCATCCGATTAATAGCAATAAGTTATTTAAGATAGTACTAAACTGAATTATAAACTTTAAGTTTGTGTTTCAGCAAGACAATCTTATTTGCTAGTTTTATGTTGCTTTATATGCCATTATGCGTTGAATAACGTTGCAAAGCTTTTAAAACAAAATGACAGGTGAATATGTAGACAAGTGGATAGCTAAACATGTGATTGGATAGACATGTAGACAATTAGACAGGTAGACAGGTAGACAACACGCAGACAAGTAGGAAGATACACAGATAGACGTGCAGACAGGTAGAATGGTAGAAAATTAAGTAAGGAGACATGTCGATTGATGAGCAGGTGGACTGGTAGGCAGATCGACTTGTAGGCACATCGCTTGATAGAACCGTAGAAAGGTAAATGGGTGGACAGGTAGGCAGGTACAAAAGTAGACAAGTTGACAACTTGGACATGTGGACATACAGTAAGTTTTTTAAACAGGTAGAGAAGTGCACTGTTAGACATGCACATCATAGACAAATCAAAGATTTGTTGATGAAATCGATTATTTACACATACATTTAGTTTTTTTGTCATTTTATTGGACTTCGATAAACCTTTAGCGGCAAAAATGCTATACATGTAGTTTTTATTTACATGTTTACTTTTCGTTGCTTGATAAATCTAATTACATAGAAATAACAATTTGAATTAATAGGATTGATACTAATGATTTTGTAGAGTTAACACTTTCCACTCGCGTATTTCGAGATTTATATGATTTTTGCCGCCGGAGAGGCGGCATCCGAGTCGAAAGGGTTAAATTCCTATAACATTTTTCTAGTCTTTCTCAAATAAACTGCATTCTAAAATATGTGGTCAGTGATCTGTTGATTGATTCTGTTGAAGATCCATAATTACACATATCCGTTCACGATAAAATTTTTAAATGTTTATTTAGAAAATAAAGTTTTCGCTTTCACTAAAAACTAATTAATGTGTTCTTCAATAAAAATGTTTCAAACAATCTTATAATTTATTTTATTATTTTAACTTAATTTAATTTTTTAACGCATGTTATTCTACTTCGTGTTTTATTTATTATTTTAGTGGACGTCAACGGCAATCAGTACAAAACGCAGTATGGAATATAGACGTGTATGTCCTAAGAGCGCGGCTCATTATTAAATTTTTTTATTATTTTTTTTAATTAAACCACTTTTCGTGGTACTGTAATATTTTCGGATGTTATGCTAAGTGTCATTGAAATCTTCAAGAAAAATTTAAAATTTATGAAGAAACAGCTCAGCCGATCTGTACGAAATATACTAATACTGATCAGCACGATGCCCAGCTGATATTTTTCAGACGAGTTTCAACTTTTCAAATCGTTGATCATTGATTTAAATTTTAGACTTCCTACTAATTCTAAAGAAACGGCTCAGCCGATCGACTCAAAAGACTGACTAGGCAATGCTAGTTGTCATCAAATGCCTTCTAAATATTCCAAATCTGCGCAACCGATTTCGAGAAAACTTTGATAAAAGCCTAAATTTCAACTTACATGCATATATTTTTTCCAATTTTAGTGCCAAACTTGAAATGCCGTGAAAACGTAGGGTTAGCAAATCGGATTTTCTGGCAAAATGATATCTTTCTTCCGAAAGATAAAGATTACAATTTTAAGAAAAAAAAATTAAGAAAAAGTCTGGGAATGTAGGAGTTAATTTGACTTGAATTAAAAAAAAAAAACATTTACAAATGACCAAACTGGGGCAAACATATACTTGTCATTTTAGCTGAAACAATCACATTTTTGTTGTATCATAATAGTAATTGTCAAACGTACGCAAACCTTATCACTTTTGAAATTAATTTAATTCGTACATGTGTAATAAATTTTAAAAGATAAATGGAATTAAAAATCGATATAT